ATAAGTATAATATCTTTAGCTTTATAAGTCAAACTCAAAATATCCGGGCTATTACTAGTACTTTACTTATTACTCTAAACAGAAGTCTAACTATTATTATTAAACTTCTCAGGCTAATTAACCTTATTTCTCCTAAGTAAACTTATTATATAAGGTCTAATAAATTATATATAAATATTTATTAAGGTTAAGGTAATTAAGAAAAAATAGGCCTAATATCTAATATATTTTTTCCTATATCTTATAATTAGCTTAATACTATTTTGGGTCTTATTTTCTTGCGGATATATATATATTTGAAATTTATAATTAATATTTTAAAATAATACTCTTTAATTAGTTCTTATATAATTTAAAAATCAGGCTACTAAATTTAATACTTTTATAATACTCAAATTTATTTAAGTTTATAAAGTCTTATAATTATTAGGGCTTTTATAATTCTTTGCCTTTTGAGTTTAATACCTAAATAGTATTATATACTTTGCCTTTAGTATAAAAGAGGCTCCTAAAAATCTAGGATTATAAAGAAATTTTTATATTAAGGATATATTAAGAATATATTATATTATAATAATAAAATTATAAGTATTTATATATAAATATATAATATATTAGATTAGTTATACTAAAAACTATACTATATTTATATATAAAGTTACTAATTACTTTATATTAATACCGGACTCGTATAATTACGTGACTTTATATAATTAGCTAGCTATAAAAAAGCCCTAAAGCCCGAAACTTATAAAAAGTCTAAAGGGCTTTAGAGCTTCTAAATTATTATTAATATCTAATACTTTTTAGGAAAAGAATATAATATGTTTTATAATAAGTAATCTATTATAAACTACTTAACCTTTAAGTTAAGTAGGAAATCTGAGGGCCGGATTTATAATTCAAGTCTTATTAAGATTATTAAAGTTTTTACTAGCTAGTATTATAAATTTAATAAAAATATTATAGGAATCCTATAGGTTTTATTCTAATTTATCTAGAAAATATATATAGTATATTTTTTTTTTTATTTCAATATTTATATATAATTCCTGAGAGCTAAACTATTACTTAAGAAAGAAATAAAAAGGCTAGACTAATATTTTTGAAAACTAAGGCCTTAATAAGTTTATTTAGAAAAGCTTACTAATTTTTCTAAAAATAATTCAAGAAAAGTTTGAGTTTATTATATATTATAACTCATATAATTAAGAATAGGAATTATTCTAATAAGCCAGAAAGAGTTTCTTATATAGCTTATTTATATAACTAGAAATAGGAACTTGAGTTTATTATATAAAATTACCTATATATAAAAACTTCTACTATAAACTCCTTATTTAGATTAATTAGTTAAACCTATTTTTAATACTAAGTCTTTATTAAAGTAACTTCCCGCTTCTAAAGGCTTTAGATAAAATAGCTAATAAGTTTCTTAGTTATTAGCCAAGACTTATTAGCTAGAAAATCTATAAGTAGTAAATAAGATTATAAAGTAGAACTTTTCTAATTATAATACTAAGATATTTTACTATAATATAAAATAATTAGATATAAAAGCCCTATTAAATATAATATATCTTGAATTATAAGTTTATAAGATAGATATAGGAAGTTTTAGTATTTAACTAGTATTATAATCTAGCCTAAAGGCACCTACTATTTTTTATACCTAATTTAATAAAAATAAAAAGTACTTATATTTTAACTCAAAAAATAATTAGAACTTTTATATAAACTTAGGATAGCGGTTTGCTTTATAAAAAGAGAATAAACCAGAAATACTTATATTATATTAATTTTTAAAAGAAATTATAATAAATACTATAATTCCTAAAATATTCTCAAGAAAGCTTTTCCGAACTAAAATAGACTAGTTTATAACCCTGAAAGATATATAGAAGTCTTATATATCCGAGAATATAAGTACTTAAGATAAATACTATTTGAGTTTTAATCTATAATAAAAGAAAAATAAAATATATAAAATAAAATATATAAAGTAAAAGTAAAATAAAATACCCGGGTATTTAATAAATAGAAAGCCTAATTATAGGTTATAAGAACTAGTACTAACTAGATATATATAGTAATATTAAAGAAAAGATAAGATAAGGGAAACTAAAAAGTAAGTTAGTATATATTTTATAAAAGTAAATAAAGAAATATCTAAATAGCCTAAAAATAAGAAATATATATTAAAGAAATCGAGATTAGAGAAAGAAAGGCTATTTCTTATAAGAATAAGTTAGTATATATTTCAAGATAAAGAATAGAGGTATTTAGTAATAGCCCAAAGGCTTTTATAAGTATTAAAAGAGGAGAGAAGATATTAAAGTTCGAAGGGATCTAAATAGAAGTTAGTTTCTTTTTTGGAAGTTTGAGAGAAGGTATTTCTAAAGGGCCCAAAAGTATAAGAAATATTAGAAAAAGAGAAAAGGAAATATTAGAAAAAGAGAGAAGGAATTTAAAATTTAGCTTTCTAAGAAGTAAGTGGATTAAAGACTTATAATATGAGAGTTCTGAATAAAAGTGACCCGGAAATAATAATTAGGTACTAGCTTTTAATATTATTAGTAGAAATATTAAAGAAGAAGGGGTTCGGAGAAGGGATTTAAAAAAGGGATTTAGAGGAATTTAAAAAAGGAAAGAAAGATTATAAAGTAGTTAGATACTAGCTTTTAGTATTAATAGAAGAAGTATTAAAGAAGAAGGGGTTTAGAAAAGAGATTCGGAAGAGGAATAAGGAGAAAGAGTAAGAAGAAGTAAGGAAAAGAAAAGAAAGATTATAAGGTAATTAGATACTAGCTCTTAATATTAATAGAGGTATTAATAAAAGTATTAATAAAGGTATTAATAGAGAAGGTATTAGTAGAGGATAGAAGCTCTTGGTATTAATAGTAAAGTCGAAAAAATATAGAAGAAGAATAGAGGTTTTAAAGTAAAAATAAAATAGAGTTATAGTTTTATAGAAAATAAAGTTATTAATATAGGGTAATTATATTATTATATAATTTTATATTTACTTTTATTATTTATTAAGAATATATATCTTTTAGGAAAAAGTATTACTTAGAATTCTTAAATCTTTTTAATTTAATAATTATATATTTGAAAAATAAGAAATAAATATAATTATATATACTAGAATAAAAGAATTTTTTTTATTTAAAAATTATAATATTACTAAATATAGAAATATAGAAGTTTATATAATAAGCTATATATAGAGATTTAAGGAAATTTAAATTACTTTAAATTATTTATAATTAGTAAAGTAAATTAACTAATTATATAAGTTAAATATAATTTAATTATTATTAGTATATCTTAGCTTTTACGAATTAGTAAGAAAAAAAATATTTATATTTTTATTTTTATAATTATAATATCTAAAATTATAATTTTTTTAATATTTAAATATACTTAATCTAGGGCTATTAAGTACTAATATTTTTATTTTTAAGTATTATTTATTATAAATTTATTTGGATTTAAATAATTATATTAAATATATATTTTTATATTCTAAAAGTAAATAATAAAGATATAGCTATATTAGCTTTAACTTTAGCCTTAACCTTAACTTTAATCTTCTTTTAAAAATAACTTTAATTCTAATATATAATACTATTATTAAAGTTCTTTTTTATTAAAGATATATTAAATATAGCTTTAGATAATAGCTCTAATAAAAGTAAAAGTAATAAAAAAGATAATAAAGCTATAAATAAGCAGAAAAATAATATTTATAATATATTCTCTAATAATCTAGACTTAGTCTATAATATTCTCTCTCATTAATATATTTAACTAATAAATCCCTTTACTCCTCGACTTCTTTCTTATATATGACTTTCTTCTTCTTTTCTATAATAATACTTTAATCTCCTTATATTACCTAATAATACTACTAAAGTAGTAAAGCGAATTAATAATAAGACTAAAGTTAGAGAGATAAAGCTATACTAGGGCAGGGAGCTAAAGAGATTAGAGAAAGGCAAGGCAAATCTAGAGGCAAGCTTAATATATACTTGCGGAACTAAATTCTCTTAAACTTATATTACTTATAGTAATAAGAAGAGACCGAGAAGCCTTTTTAAATACTATATAGTTATAGAAGGCAAATTTAATAGTACTTATATAAATTATAGATATAATAATAATAGTACTTATATAAATTATAGATATAATAATAATAGTAAAGTTTATACTTTCTATTAACTTAATACTAATTCTACCAAGTCTGGAAAGCCTTACTCTATATCTATAAAATCCTTTATACTAAAGCCTCGACCGCCTATAAGATATAGAAAGCGAGTATAAAAACAGATATAAGGTTAGAAGGTAATAGGGAAAAAGGTTATAGTAGAAGAGGATAAGGATACTAGAGGAGAAGGGGATAAAGGAGATATAGATAATTCGAGTAATATAGGTAGTACGGAGGATATAGATAGTAAGGGAAATAGAGATATGCCTCGTAATCTATGGGATTTGCCTTACGGACCACGCAAGCTAAGGGGGGGTTAGGAGTAGTCAAGAATAAGGCGTGTATGCTGTACTTTTTTTTTTTAGTGAGGTGTGGGCTCGAAAATCAGAAAATCAGAAAATCACTTTTCGCTTCTCGGATTTGTCCGCTAGCCCGCTAATGGCCTCAGTAGAAGGAAGCGCAGGCTGAGTAGGAGACGAATGTTGGTATGCGTTCTGTTGAGGACAAAGCTGGCAAATTGGAAGTATTGTTGTGCTCCAAGTCTGGTTCAAGAAGACGACAAGAACACTGGCAGTACGTTGGTTTTGGTCGAAGGAGGGGAGCGTGAGTATTTGTCCAGTCCAGAGATCAAAAAGAAGACGAAGGATGAGAGGTACCGCCAATTAGAGGTGAATCCGAGCGTAAAGACCTTCAGAGGTTGTCGAGTCCTTCTCTGCTGAAATTTACCCTCTTGAATTCTTTCTGCGGTATCTCCTCGGGAACATTCTGGGTCATGAGCCGTTGCACAACCTCAAGGTGCTTGGCAGCTGAGGTTATATTGCGGTCCACAGCGAGGCAACTCGTGTACTTTCCAATTGCAACTTCAATCTCGTAAAGCCATTTAAACCCACGTTCACTCTCAATGACCCCGGCAAGAAGCCATGCAGGTTGTTCGAGGTCGTCGGGATGGTCATATCGCTCTAGCAGAGCCACCACTGTCCTAAGAGCAAGCCGAGGGCGTTTAGTTTCGCCGAAGTGTCGATGAAGCGTTCTGAGATAGTCCCACTCGGTAATATCACGTGCATAGAAGGTGACGGTTTGTGTTGTTGTTAGGATTGGTGCTGTTATTGGTTCGTCGAGTGCTCTCGACGTTTCAAGTCGCCTCAGTGTCCTGATCTCAGTGAAAGCAGTTGGGTAGTCATCAGCAATGAAAGCCATCTCCCATTTCTGAGCATGTCTTAACCAGACTAGCCGCTCCATCGCGGCCCGTGTACCGAGGACAAGATGTTCCATCAAGTTTGGATACTTGCCGCCTTCATGATCCTGGAGAAGACCCTCGGCTATGGCAATTGCATCTTCAAGGCGATTCTCTTGCAGGGCATGATTATAAGGAACAAGAGCTTTCTTGAAGTCACAAGAACTGACAAGCCTTTGCCGTTCCTGGGCCATATCCATTGTATCGAAGTCAGCGAACATAGTTGGATTGTTGTTCTCGACGATTTGGTCCATTGTAGCAATAGCTGTCTCAAAGTCCTCGGCCTCTATCGCTTGCTCGAGTTGCTTGATACGAGCTCGAAGTGGGACGCCAAATTCGAGCAATTTTGCCTGGCCTTCCGGTGTGGCCGCATATCCCATCACCTCTTTCATCACATCGTTCAAGCGTCTCTTCGGGTGTTTGATCGCTTCTTTACTTTCACCCTCCAGCAGCTTTCTTTTCACCACTTTCCGCAGGTGTTCTCGCATGGAGTCATGGTACTCTTTCTGAGATTCCAGAAACTCCACGGTGTCGACGTCATCCAAGATAGCTTGGATTTCTGTAGGGGATCTGTTTATACCTGGAGATATACACACTTGAATGACTCGGACGACACTCTCGAACGCCTTTTTGACCTTCAGTGCCTGGGTGAGGTCCTCTGCGAATACTTCATCTGACTGGAAGATTTCAATCATGGAATTTAGTATTTCGATAAGTGCTTCCACGTTCTGTTCTTTGAGCGCCTGCGTCAAGAGTGCTTTGTAATGTGTGATTGCGTCAAGCCGATTTCGTACGTCGAGTGCTTTCTCCAAGTCCAGACTCCTCACATTGGAACCTTGTTGTACTGCCTGACTCCATAAGTTGGTCCACCGCTCGAGGAACTCCTCTTGATTTGGGCGTATGGCAGATTCCCCGAGAACAGTATCCATCAACTCAACTGAACCTGTGCCGCGATGGACTGATTCACTTATCTCGGATACACGGGCTTGCATATCTCTATTTTCAAAGATACGCTCCATCTGAGGAGCCAGTTGCTGTAGATTTGGTACCTGGTTGGGATTTGGGACGTCATCCCAGGTCAACGAGTCAATCAAGGACCTCTGTTCGTCATCTCGGACCTGGCGGAACATCATGTCAGGTATTGAGTTGCCCGAAGCTCTGCACTCCGCCACAGTCTTCGTGCCCTGCGCAAAGTCGGCAAATCCACGATTCATCATGGCGAACGAAACAGCACCGGTGAGACTAGGGTCTTTAAGCAATGCCGCGTCCGTTTTGTCGATTATGTCGTATGTCAATCGAGAAAACTCTAGAGCTCGCTTTATGTCGAGGGTCGAGAGAGTCCAATGGGCAGTGGTAAGGCTGTTTCCAATTGAGATCATGCGGAAGAGCGTCAGCGCATCTTCCGTCATTGTGCGGCGCATTATGAATCTCCGGAGGAAATGTTCGTAATGTTTGATAAGAAGAGACATCTCGTCCACGGAAAGAAAATATATTCCAAGGGTGACGTATACGATTAGATCCTCCGGCCAGATACTTGGATAGACGAAGTCTTTACCCATCGAGCAGAGTTTTAGACAGGTGAGAATGTTGTAGAAGGCCGGCCTCGCATCTTTCTCTATCTCTGTGAACTTTCCATCGACGACGTTTGAACGTAGTGGTTCATTTAAGTTTCGACTCCACATCCCCTGGAAGAATAACGCGACGAACTATTCGACAAACTGATCTGGCAATGATTCTTCCTCCGCTGCCATCGCCCACACAAGCCCCACTGCAAGAATTCCAGGTACCAAAGGAAATATGGAGCGCCCGAGAAGAGTGAACAATGGGTGGATCTGTTCGATACGTCCTTCGGGATTCAAAGAGAAATATCCCCTATCGACCCCAAATTCGATCGCTTTGCAACCACCTCCCTCTAGAGAAGCATCCAACCAGTTTTGAAAAACATCCTTTACTGGTCCTTCGTGCCAGTAAAGGGTCAAATTGCAGTAGACGTTGGCATAATATTCCGAAAGGGGTCCCGTGTTACTACCAAACATTATGTCTCGGGTTTGAAAGCGGCATTGGTACTCATGCAAAAGCCATGCTCCGGTGAATTGGTGGAATAATATCTGATTGAACAATTCTTTCCAGGGATGATTCTTGGAGACAACTGTTCTTAGAACGATATCAATGGCCAATGGGTTGCATTGAAGTATGTTCAGAACTTGTGACAAGATATTCTCATCCTCATTGTTCCACTGACTTCTGTCGAATCCTAAATCTTCAAGAACATTATGAGAGAGCTCTATGGCATCCGGATGGGACAAATCCCTCAGTTTATAGCGGGGAAATCCAGGCAGGTCTGGGAACTGCCCCGCCCACCAGTCATCGTCATCCCGTCTCCCAACCAAAATCAGTGACGGGCTTTCTTCGTACTGTGATCTGCTGTTGATGATATCTCTTATCAGGGTTACCAAAGCAATTCTTGCATTTTCTGGCCAGCGACCATGTTCGTCCATTTCTTTGAATGCCGAGTGGCTTGCTTCCAGATTATCGAAAACGATGACTTGAAAATGGCTCCCAAGTTCTGACAAGTTGGATCGATATACGGTCTCGTCTTCCTCAAATTGGCCACTCTTCCCCGGATTTTCATCACTTAAGATTCGTTGAAATAGCGCTCCGGGAGTATCGACTTCACTCACATCGATTGACGCACAGTCCACATAAAGTGTCTTTTCGTACAGTCGCGTGTCTTTCCAGCAGCGCAAAAGGTGGTGAACGAACGCAGTCTTTCCAACTCCTGCAGGACCTGAAATTCCAATGAGCTTTGAGGCAAGGAAAATAGTTTCGAACCTGAGGACGTCAAAACCGCGCCCAAAGAGCGTAAGAGGAGTTGTAAGTTGGTCTTTGGGAGTTGTTGTGGTAAGTGTTGGATTCTCGAGGGCGAGGACACCTTTCTCAACAGAGGAAATATGAAGCTCAACATCTTTTCCACTTGCGTACACAACAGGTACGATCCAGTCCTCTAGTGATCTCCTGAGAGCGAAACGGGCGTCTCTAATTGGTGATGCGCGTAGGTGCTCTCGTGCAATACGTATAGCCGTCGAAAATGGTTTGCCTCTGGCGATGAGAGCCTCGTAAAAGGCACGCATGAATTCCGTTGATGTGCTCCCAAGGGTCCTATACGCCATAGCAAGTACATTCTGAACGCCGGCTTTGGTGAAGACTCTTGCTAGGTTCGCCTCGTCTCCCTTGTTTGCCTTGGCAGATTCACAAGCATTAAGGACGGCAATACGAATGTTGTGTTTCCGCAAGAGGTCCGCAACGGACCCAGCTCGAGTTGGGGACAATCTGCCGTCGCCCTTTCCAGATTGAAAATAAAGGAAAGCTGCCGTTGTTGCTTTGTCTTCCCCTTTCACGCTTCGAAGACCCACTCGGCCATGTACATCGAAATGAACAATATGAACATCGCCGCTGTGTTGACGTTCAGATCTTTCTTCCAAGTGTCTTTTCAAGGCTTTGAATGAGCCTGGACGAACGGTCTCAATGTTAAGGCGGAAGGGTGCTTCTCGAGTCTCCAAATCTTTTTGAAGAGTTTGGAGGCTTTGTAATGCCAAGTTCGGATCCACCTCATCTGCTCCCTGATTGATAAGTCTCCGTGATATCACAAGCAGCACGTTGACCGACGGCACCCCTCTCGACCAAGACTCAACTCTGTTAATGGTGAGATTCGTTGCTTCATTTTGCGGGATGATACGCCGGAGTAATGTTTGCAGCCTGATATGCTTCCATAGTCGTGGCCACTCGAGAACTTCCCAATGAAGTCGGTGGATTGTATCCGATGAGACAGAGCTGGAGTCTTTGGTGTCTTCCACAATATCTATTTCGAGGACTTTGTTGGAGTGATTTGTCTTGTCACTCAGCCTCCTCCAGACTCGACTCAGATGCAACTGTTCAAACAAACTGTCTGCATACGAATTCAGGGACTCGACAGCGAGCTCTGCTCTGCCCTTCTCGAAAGGGGATTTGGTGAGATAGTCTTCCAGATACCACCGACACTCATCCTCTTCGATATTTGTGAAGGGGTCTGAAAGTGTGATGTTCTTGGCAAAACAGGCCCCGCCGAGATACACAGCGACTCCCCATCCAGGCACGTCCGTCTTCGAGGCTTCAGCGAGTATTCTCAGGTGATAGGTTGTTGTCCCCGAGGCTTCTCCCATTGCTGTGGACAAGCGTGACGAGTGTTGGTGAACGAATTGTTCGGGGACTGGACTTAAGTTGATGGAGATAGCAAAAGAGTTCACATCTTTAGGATGGAGGCTGTGTTTCTTGGGGTCAGGTCAGTGACACTGTGACACATCCTCGTGATTCAGCCCTGGATGTTGTGGCACTCAGCCACCGCGCTTGTACCAATGCCCCTTAGGTCATGTTTCAGGCCCGATTTAGTGCTACCAATATGCCAATAGCCACTATACCACGAGCGTGGCGTTTTAGAAGTTTTTCTTTTGACTCGAAGCTGAAAAGGCGTGCCCAACCCCGCAGCTTCAGGCTTGAGGGTCACGACGCCAGCACCACCGACCAGAGCTCTACCTGTTCAACATGCCAGCCCGCCATTTCGTCCTCGACGAGTCCATTGCTGAAAGTAATGCTGGGAAATTGATTGGTCGTGTCGTCTTAGATATAGCCTCACCGCTGCAAGCATTCGCACCCAGAGAGGCTGTGGAGGAAACCTCATCAGGACGAAATCCACAAGACATCATCCCAAATCTGCTCCCTAGTCCCCTCCTGTCGACAAACCGGAAAGATTTCATCCAAAATAACATTTCGGGGGAAGCACGGACTGGTCTCACCGAGTTCTTCGGGTTCAACGTCGCGAGGACCGACGAGGAGAAGTTGACTCTGGAAAGCAAGGTGGTCAAAAGATACTCGCTGGAGCAGACCAAAGATTCCTTCGGTAGACTGATGAAAGATGATGCTTACAACACCGAGGTTCGAGCTTTTTTGAAAGAGCATGGTGTCCGGAAAGCTTACTTCGTCGTTGGATTCATCACCACAGAAGGCTCCGTTTGGACTCGTGAGCGGACGCGAGGACATTCAGCTGGCATCAAAGGACAGGTTCCATTATCAACTATCGCTCTTGGACCAATTCCTGGACCCGATTTGAGTGTCAAGCTATCGGCATCAGACAACAATGTGCGCGGACAAAAGTTTTCGTCGAAGGAGCCTCTGATCTTTGCGGTTGCGTATGATGTCGTCAAGGTGAAAAGGCCTTTCGATAAATCAGTCCCTGGCTATTTCAGAGACGATGTTGTTCTGGGACCGGCGAAGTATGCAAAGGCGAAGCATCTTGCTATGGGAAGAGATGAAGATGAAGTGATTGAGGAAGAGGAAGACTCGGAGGATGAAACTATGCAGGAAGACGAAATTGAGCTTGGTGGTGGGTTGGATACAAAGGACCTTAAAATTGGGTGGAACGGGCTAAGTTTTGATGTAGAGACGAAAAGGATGGATTAATCGTTTGTGGAATGACTTCGTGACCGCACCGAGTGGGTTGTCCAGATTCACTGCTCGAATATTTCCGGCGCAAAAACGATATCCAAGTTGGATAACCATTCGAGGCTTTACTCAATCGCGCGCAATTGAGGGACGATGAATAATGACAGATTTTGTATTCTTAAACGTGATAGAATGTAACGATACCCAACCCCATGGGTCTGTGCGCACAGGGCATTTTCCGGGCATTTTCAGGCTACGCGAAGACTACTTCAGGGTCTCGAATAGCAAAAGTCTTCACAATCACTTAACGAGCCTGCAACCATGGGTCTGTGCGCACAGGGCATTTTCATCAAAAAAGCACGAAAGTTAGGTATTAAAGTAGCGTTTAATTAGGAGTTGACTACCCATGCCGCTACATAAGTACTTGTACCCAATGCTCTTGCCTTAAAATCAGCTTATTAGGGCGTCGTCATTCTGGGTAAGGGTAGCTAAGGATCTTGCGGACCGTGGTATCGCTGAGCTTGTATCGTACTATTAGGGCGCAAACGGGGACCTTTCCAAACCAGCGAAGCTGGCGCATAGCCTCCTTATGTTTCGTAGGGATCTCATAGCCTTTCTCGTGCTGAAAATTGAGCGGTGGGGGTGTGTTCAGGGCTATGGTGGGTTGTTTAGGGGGCTGGTTGAGTGAAGCCTGAAAAAGCGCCTGTGCGCACAGACCCATGGTCGCAGGCTCGTAACTGTTACAAGACAGCAACAAATAATTACGGCCCACGATCCGGGCTTTGAGAATTAAAGTAGGTAAAGTATAGTTCTATGAATTAATTCTCAAAATTTAAAAGTTCTAAAATATTCGTTATCACTAAAATGCCCTGTACGCACAGACCTATGAGGTTGGGCTCGTAAGATTATCCCCGCAAAAAAAACGCTGCCGCACCTTCGCCCCAGATACGGCTAGTGCGCATATCCCTCACCGCCCGAGTAAAGCTTAGGTCCGGTTACAAGGCCCCTTTAATTAATTAGTACGATAATAACAAGCATTTTTCTTATAAATTAAATTAATAGAGTTATAGTACAATGTACTAATGGAAGCTTCTCGTTCTCCGTTTAAAGAAATACCTTATTGCGGGCAAGTTATCTCAAATTATAATAAAAACTACTACTTATCCCGTAACTGAAAACGCTATTGCTAGTGGCAGCGTTTTTAAGAAAATTACCCCTTGTTTAGAAAATTTGGGTAGTGGGGGAAAGCTGACTAATAAGGATCCCGTATGCTTGATTAATTACTTACTAATTAATTACTTATTAAGTAGCCTCCTTATTTCCTTTACTAGTAATCTTTATATAGCCTTTCTAAATATATTCTTTTATCTAGTGAAGAATATAGCTATTCGCGTGTGGCACGTGCTGATCACGTGCACCGGCAGAAAAAAACGCTGCGCCTTGGCAACGTTTATTTTCGGAATGAATGGCCCTGACCTTAGCTTAACCCTAAACCCTTATATACTGAGTGTGAAACTCGGTTACTCGCAACAGAGCTAAGCGAACAATTTTGTTAGCTCGATGTTTGATCACAGTTTTCATTTGATTGATAACGGTCGATTCTTTCCTTTTTTAACCCACCCTGTCGTACCCTGCCCTCAAGGTGCTCTGTAGCTATTGTGACAACCTTACGATTACTGGCCTTCTCCAGATAGCCGAGAAACTTGGCTATATATATGCATATCCTCTCACGTTCCCTCAGAGATATTACCAACACCAACCGAGCTACGAAGATCTCATTACATCAGCTAAAGCTGGCTGTGAGCTGTGCCATGCTATCTGGAAAGAATGCTCTCAGTACCAGTGCTTTGGACGACCAGACTTGTGGGATGGATGGAACGGTGGCCTAGACTCATTTAGGTCTCAGAAGACGATTGAAGAGATGATATATAAAGCACTTGCCAGAGGACAGAGGGTAGACGTGAGAATCTGTCTAGGAGATTATCACGGAACGCGTGAACATGGACTTTCTCCCGCAAATGATGCTCTGTATCTGCAGTTTGCGAGCGCATTACCTGAAGATATGCTGGTTGTTTTTCGGCTGAGTGCACCAAGACGTACGTGAAATGCATTCAAATGCATGAAACTGATTTACTTCAGTTAGGCTGATTATCTCAGTTCCACTTAGGAGCCTGGGACAATATAGAGTAGGGCGGTTTGACTTAGATGCCAACCTTGGATCAACTTCGAACTTGGATCTCGCGAGACAATGGCTATCAACTTGTCAAAGAGAACACCGATCCCTGGGATGTCCAGATATCGAAGATGTCGTTCTCCCAACACGGATCCTTTACTTCGGGACAACAATCGATCTGCAAGACGTTCACCTCTTAACCTCAGAGGGTTAGACGGGCAAATATGTCGCGCTGAGTTACTGCTGGGGAGGGCAAAATTCACTGGTAGCAACTAAGGCAACGACTGAACAAATGTCAAGAGGCATCGCACTCGCTAGTATGCCAGCCATGTTTAGAGATGCCGTGATTGTTGCACACAGACTTGGATTTTCATACCTATGGATTGACTCTTTGTGCATTCTTCAAGACTGTCCAGACGACTGGGACAGGGAGTCAGGCGCGATGGGAGAGATATATCGACGAGCTGCCATTACAATTGCGGCTGCAAGTGCCCCAAATAGTCACACGGGACTTTTAAGTGTACCACCTCAGGCATCCAAAGAATTAGACCCGCCTTGCCAGCTCAAGCTTCATGCGAACTCCGACTCGCGAGATACAGTCTCTCTGACAAGAGTTGATTGGAGAGAGGAGGACCTCTTCTTTTGCCTATTTGACGCACCATTAGCAAAGCGAAGTTGGACACTGCAAGAACGACTATTGTCTCACAGGACTCTTTATTTCGGGAAGAGGCAAATCTATTGGGAGTGCCAAGGAGGACACCATGCAGCTGATGGAGAACAAGACTCTCCAGTCATCGAATCCTTCTTCGTCAACTTTCTATCACTCACAACGCTTTGGGCGACCTCAAATTACATAGTAGCCCACTCTGAAGCAAGAGGAGACGACATCTACAACCTGTGGCACAGTGTACTTTCCCTCTACTGCGACAACCGAGAATTAACATTCGAGAAAGATAAATTTCCTGCTCTTTCCGGACTAGCTTCATATATCCATCAACTCACCAATGATATTTATCTGGCAGGGTTGTGGCGTAACGATCTGCACCTGGGGTTGCTATGGAAGAGCTGGTCGAAAACAAGGCCAACAAAAGCGTTTCGCGCACCTTCATGGAGTTGGGCATCCTGCGAAGGAGAGATCCACTTTGCGCGTCCATTTTATCGACGGGTGGCGACACTCGATGATGCAGAATTCATAACATGTGATATCGGCCTGGTTCAGCAGAACCCTTTCGGTGAAGTTAAGTCGGGAAGACTTCGGGTAAAGGGGCGTACTCAGTCACTATTTCGGAGCGAAAGGCAATACGATAAATCGGTTCCTTTAGCCGGCTTGTACTATTTTGACCTCAGCCAGGTGATTATGATTACAATTGGGGCGCAATTAAGTTCGAATTGCCTGAAGATGTTAGTAATTGCATACTGAGGTATGATCCTAAAAACCTCCGCAAGCAGGCATACAAGCTACTTCTCATCGGATCCACCATTCAATCCCCGGACGATGGAAGGAATCATGATTCAACAAATTCGCCAACGCAGAGGGAACACAGCAAATGGAATGCTTTGATCATTGATTTGGTTGAGGGAGAGCCGAGCGTTTATCGTCGTGTTGGAATAGCATCTTTCGAAAACCCGAACATTTCTATCGAAAATTGGGCCTGGGAGATAGTTTCACTAGTTTAATTAAAAGCGTTCTTTCTTACATTATAGACCACCTTTACGAGTGTAACAACCCTAGGGCTGTTGAGAGGGCAATAGGAGGGATCACAATATAGCAAAGAAGTAGCTGTGTACGATTCGTAGTATTATGCTCAAGTCCAGGTCCTTAATTAGAAATGAAACTCAAGCTTGCTTTTCCCCCGTAGGCCAACTGCCTAGTATTATACTCCTCGATCTTAATTGTATAAGCATCCGGAGTTCCCGAAGCCTGGGCGTTCGGGCTGCCGTAGTACTAACTGCCCACTTCAAAAGCTTCTCTTGAGCCTTAGCGAGGCTCGTGTTAAAGCACCCGTCCAGGCTCATTAGCCGAAGTCGAGGTTCGTATAGAAAGTGGCACTTCGTGGGATTCTCTACAGACCCCAAGCATCCCAGAAAAAGATGTCTGGGAACTTGGTTACCGACTTTAATATTAATTTGAAGAGGGCGTTGAGTTGGGAGAGTGAAATGCTATACCTTATATTAAGCTCTGGATAGGTATTGAAAATTGAGGAATTTCAAATCAAATCGTAGCTCCAGTATTACCAGCCCCTGTGAAGTGGTGGCTTCTAGGTTCGTGAGCCTACTTCAACCTGTTTAAGTTCCTTGATTATTTACGAAAGAGTCATTGGGCCGGGGAATAGCTAACTTGGTTTCCTGAAAATAATTAAAATTTCGGCAAATGACTGAACCTCCCCCTAAATCAGACAGTCAACGATTTGTATTGCTTTGTAAGGACAATAGCTGCAAGTTCAGAATTCGAGCATCCGGCATGAAAAAGGGCATACGAGTTACAATCAAAAATCCACATACCTGTACGCCAACAACCCACTACAACTTCAAGCCTTCTCATTCTATGTGGTATCTTAAAAGCCATCACCGATCCTCAGTAATCAACAACCGCAATATTACTCCTGGCCAAATTCAATCTGATGAGCGGCTACAATTTTCCAACGAAATCAACTATTAACAAGCACATAGAGTGAAGATGGCATTATTAGTAGAGATAAAGGGGAAAGAAGCAGACTGTTTCCAGCATGCTTGTTACGTCTCTTAGAAAGTGATAATAGGAAAACAAAAGTACAGTTTCAGGCCAATGAGCAAACTGTCAAATGGTCTTGAACTGGTTTACAAAGTGAGCTCTATAGCTTGAAGATATAGCGCCATGATAACTAATCTCACGTGAGGAGTGACTATTATTCTCGACATAATAAACTACCAAGCCAAGCCGGTTTCGAAGTTCACTGTACTAAGCAATGTGAGTATTATACTAATATAGTTTATACTTAGAATTTTTTTAGCCGAAAGGAAACGAAGCTGATTTTGCAAACGACTATAATATTTAGCTCTTAGACTGTATCAAGTCACGGCGCGGCGGCTAGTATCGTTAGTCTTAACTTTAGCTATTTATTGTTGAACTAGCTTAATAATAAAGCTAGGGTCACGTGCTTGCAATGTAAATCAAGTAAAACGTACTGAATTGACTGCTGTTCTACAGTGGAAAGTAGCCCATATATATAGCCCTGAACCCCCTAAATCACATGCACTAGTTACCCTATGCCAGCTGAACCGATTCCAGCTGTACAGGGTATTCCAGCTATACAGGGCATTCCAGCTATACAGGGCATTCCAGCTGTACAGGGTACTAATCCCCATAGTGCACAGCCCCATGGCGTTCCGTTCCGGGGCTTACTAAGCCCATTAGGGGCCTCGGGCCCTAATTTCAACATTTATAAATAGTAAAGCGTAATCACGTGACCGGCAAAATGCACTACCGCCGCCCCGGCAGCGTATTTTTTCGGCATGAATACTCGTGACGTATTGCGAAAGAGACTCTTTAATATCGGCTACTTCTAACGCTCGACTAACACCTCCGCTCTGCGTGCAGCCTAGTTTCCTGCGATGGACTTTCTTCCATATCCTGATGACCCTGCGCAAGCGGGCATCGAGGTTCCGTTTTTCTGCACTGACGCGAACTTGGCACGATATGTGCCTCCAGAAGCCTTTTCTGTTGACTTCCCGTCTTCCATCATTGATTATTTGTTTTTGAAAATGGCTGAATCAAACGATATGCTCGAGATTGCTGTGCTTGCGCAGGCAGGCATCTACCTACGCGTTCTTCGCGAGCTCGTCGGTGAGAGCTTTGACGTTCGCGACTTCGTCACCACTGGCACCTTGGACCCTGGATTACGAGTCATCACACTGAGGAGGTTGAATGAATCTTGCGGCTGGAGCAAGAAGTGGTTATTCGACAGGGATAAGGTATTTCAGCAGCTTCTTCAGGACCTGTTTCGCGGAAATCAACACGCTACGTCCGCGTTTTTCCAATGTGTGGCCCTGCTTGAGACGTTCGAGCCGCCCTGCTGGACTATCGGTTTCTCGATTTGGGCGCTTCTATGGTCAGTATCCCCTCGAAGAACGTCGCGATTCTATGAATTCCGTCGACGTACGGGGGCTCAATGGCCGGAGCATCGACTGATAGGGGCTGGTTGGTGCCCGTACTGGACACGTGTCTACGCTCAAAAGCTCTCACCCATTCAGCTGTACTACATGTCTGGTATACCGCATGTACGTCACGCTGGCCACGGTGAATGTCCACCCGCCGGGCCCTGCACAGTCTACGACGTCGAATATGCGACCTATCAGACAAAGCATGCAACGAGCTGCAGTAAGACAGATTGTGCTTTTCGCGGCGTTGATGGCAGGCGACTTGATGATTTATCTTCGATAATCTCTCGGGGCGGCATTCCACTTATTCGACTACGGCCGAGAGACGACAGCCCGAGCGCTCATATTGACATTGAAGTCGTAGAGCATGCTTATGGCAAACCATATATCGCCATCTCTCATGTGTGGTCTGGTGGTCTTGGCAATTTCTCGGAAAATACGCTTCCGCAGTGCCAGCTAGACTTCCTCTATCGGAGCGCTCGTTCCTGCAGGCAGAAATTGTATGGAGCAAAGGCCAACAAGCACGACATATCTTATGGCAATCGCGATGGTGGTAGAGATCTAACGGAAACCACTGACTGGCTCGAAGGCGATATATCACTGCTTCCCCTCTACTATGGTTTAAAAGGCTGGTTCTGGCTTCAAAATGCATTAGAGCGTGTCGTTCTCGGTGCCACTGGCGAAGACACGTCTACAATATACCTGTGGATAGACACACTATGCATTCCAGCCAACCCAGCGCCGGACGAAAAACGTCTTCAAAGGAAGGCAATCGACAGCATGGCTCTAGTATACTCCATGGCAATGCAAGTCTTGGTAATCGATCAGTCAGTCAGAGAGCTCTCAGTACAGACAGAAACTGGGCTCTCACTTGCAGCAGAGCTAATGAGCTGTCCGTGGATGACACGCAGTTGGACGTACCAGGAAGGCTCGCTGTCACGCCAGACAACTTTCCTCTTGATGGATGGGTGGGTCAACCCGAAACACCTGTCATTGCTCAACGCCGGTGGTGTTGTTCGGAAGCCGCCACGGACCTTCGTCAAAGCTCTCATGAGAGAATTTCTTGATGGACTCAATGATATGCCAGACTTACTAAACAGAAGCGTCCATGGCTCATCGCCACAGGAACCGGCACTCTTTGTCCAGATATGGAATGATCTCGCGTCCAGAAGGACAAGCATACCGGATGATTTGCACGGTCTCCTCGCCGTCCTGCTCGGTTTAAGCGCACAAGAAATTCTTGATCCGCAAATGCGATCACACAAGTCAGACGCCGGCGAAGATAAGAGGGTGCCGGCATACGACGACCAAAAAACACGAAGCTCGGCTGAGCGGATGCTGGCAGTGTATCTGTCACAAGCATCCTTGCCGTTGTCAATGATATTCACGTCTTTTCCTCCAAATACGCCAATGTGTAACAATAATGACTGGATGCCTCGATTCCCAACTGGATCATTGGATCTAGAGTTCGGGACCATGAGATGGGACTGCAGCGGACTGGATAAGATCGGTGGACTGAGTTTTTCCCTACGAAATTCTAATCTGGAGGCGGTGATGACACAGTCCAGCGTAGAAACTCTGAACGGAACAATTTTCTCAAGCCCGAGCCTTTTGCGCACGACACATTTGCCTAACAATGAGAAAGGTGTCAACACGATATCTGTCTTCTTGAACCCCAATTCGTTGGAAAATTTACGTCGCGTGCCAGCAGGATCTACACTTTGTATTCTTATACACGCACGAACAAACCTCGGGGCGTGCTGCTTTCTATCTGATAAGGAAAACGATGTAGATGCTCGAATGCGGTTAAATTTCATCTGCCCGTTGACATGGGAATTGCAATCTACCACCAGAGGTATCCAATCGAACGCTGGCGGAGATATTGTGGATTTGGAACCTGGGAGCATTATCACCGACCGTATCTGCGTTTTAAGTTGTGGTAAGGCTTCTGCCGGCTTCGTCTAGGCCGCCGCTAACTCGCAACCTTAGATACTCCAGATGGACTGAAGCCAAGATACAGGAGACCAATTGCTGAAAGCCTGCAAGGTAGTCTACGAATCCCAATCGGTATTACCATAGGAGTAGTTTGGGCTTATGCAGCAGTCTCATTATACCGAGATCCCTGCTGGTCGCACGTCGATCCGCTCAAAGGCACTCCGCTCATGCAGTGGATGGCAACGATTCCGGGACTTAGTTGGTATTACAAATTCACTCAAATGGTTATGCCCCATGCACGGATCACCATGTCTTCGGCGTTCTTCCGCGGCAGGCGCGCCTTATATTACCTGATCGATGTTCCGCGACTAGAGGCCGTGGCTGAGCGAGTTCGATACGAGCGGCTTGCAAAATCCCTCGATAAAATTTCGGTCGAAGACCTAGAGGCCACAGAGCAGCCGACGAGGCTCGACATCGAACCATCGTACCAGTTTCCGCGACGCTGGTTGATATGGATTCCGATCGGCTGCGCTTTGTATGGTTTAGCTGGCCTTCCGCTGATGGCGAGGTACTTGTTGTCTCGGAGCTGGATATATGGATGGGAAACGGCTATGGGCAGGACTATCTTTAACGGTGTAGCTACCGAACTAGTGGGCAGGATTGTGGTTGAGTGGGGTTGGAGGTATTTTCGGCTCGACTTGCCGAGGCGGAACAGATAAGAAGAACCATTTTACGGGAAAATGTAAAACGACCCCCCCCCCCGGGTGTCGATTGGGGGCCGAACTAACCTAAAGTAGAGGCGCTCGGACAGGAACACCAAAACTTTGGCTATTTCTATAATTTAATTCAATTTTATAAGGAATTAATATAATTTAATACTTATTTTATTTTATTATAGCGCTAATTAAGTACTATTTAAATATAAGCTTTTTATAGACTTTAGATTAGTAATAGCTCTTTTAATTAAAGAAATCAAAAATTTTATATTTTATAGCCTAAAGATAAGCTTAAGAAAGCCTAGAAATTTAGCGAATAAGTCCCTAAAACCAAATATAAGAGCCCTATAAGCCCCTATTTTATAGGGCCTTATAGGGTTCAAAAACTAGAACCTAATTAATTAGTATATAAACTTCCTTAAATTAAAATTCTATTTTAAGAAATCTTTTTATTATAAGTTAGAAAGTACGTAATTATAATACTAGGGTTATAATATACTAGCTTATACTTATATTAAAAAATATAACCTAAGATTTTTGAAGAGCTTAGGTAGCTAATTACAAGTTTATCGACACCCCAAATTCCAATCGACACCCCTCATCGACACCCGGGGGGGGGGGGTGGGGGGTCGTTTTACATTTTCCCCATTTTACGATGCTAATCTACTGAAACGCTATGACACCCTGCATCCCCCATCTGTCTTGCCTTCCTGCATATCACGCACCCCAATGTCTTTGATTGCTGATCGATCTCGGTTTACTTCACAGCAAGTGCGGAACGCTGAGAAGAAAAGTTGAATTTTAGTGCAAATGGACCCCCTCTCCATCACCGCCAGTGCCATAGCCTTGGGGACCCTGGTTCAGGCAACGTTCGTTTCCTTAAACAGCCTCGCGCAGGATTACAAAGCTTTCTCGAAACTAGAGACTCTAGCTGCAGAGCTTCAATCGTTGAGTTTAGTAATAAATAGCCTCGAGAAGTATGTTGAAGGGAAATCGACACTCGCAGCACCACTAGATGATAAACATTTGATCAGCACATTGAACACCTGCTACGCAACGCTAAAAGCAATCAAAGCAAAATGCAAAGATATCAGGCGGTCTGCATCGCAAGGCTCGATAAACAAGTCAATGGTTGGGTTATTTTGGTCATTAACCCGGACGGAGTTGCAAAAGATGCGTTCTAGTCCAGAGTCCAACAAAACCACGCTGTTGCTGTCCCTTCAGTTGAAGAGCTTGTAAGTTCAAACAGAGAATGACGAGAAAAGAAATTCACAATGGTCACAGAGAGCTTCACCTTTCATCGAGAGATCGGAAGGGCAATGAAGACCAGAAGGACATTCCCAGCCATCCTGATACGACGAAGCAGTTAGATTTTGTTCCACAGGATCAATATCAAAACGGAGAATGGAAGAGTGGTATGGAAGGAGGACGAAAAATGGAACGACGACCAGAGATGGAAATCCCACGATACATCTAATGATGGCGAGAGATGGGAAGACGACAAATGGGAAGACCAAGGGTGGAAGACCCAACGATGGGAGGAGAAGGAGAAGTGGAAGGAGGGTGAGAAATGGAATGGCGAGGAGAGCAAGCAAGGATGGGGAAACGAGGAATGGAAGGTGGAACCTGCCCAGTCAAAAGCTGGTAGAAATTCCCAGACCCAAATGTGGACCGAGGATGAAGACGGAGGGAATTTGACGAAGGTGAGCGGTTGGGATCCTGTTACGGTGAATGTTTCAACAGACCAGGAGGTCCCGTGGTGGGAAGATGCTAGGAATTCCTCCACTTCTCCTGAGGGCCAGCCATGACCAGAGCCGGAAAGACAATATCCCCGTATGAAGGATAACGCGGATGGACCAGCACGCTCAGGGATCGTGGTCAAGACACATCAGAACTTCGGCGAGTGGAGATCAACGTTTGGCTCTTAGAATGCACCAACTCAAATATACTATTCCTTTCCCTACCAAAGGGGTTACACACTACCAGCCAGACCAAGGAAGCGAAGATTAAGAGGACAGATAATAACGAATCCAAGGGTTCTAATCAGAGACGGGAAAATTAATATTGTTCTATCCGCTCCAGTCATGAATCATGAATAATGCATTGCCATATTTTTTCCAGTGGCCGCAGCCACCAAGCCCTAAATCTGGTTGACTATAGCGACCAAAAGGGTCAATGCCTGATTTTCGCCATTTTCGCCATATTTCTAAGGCTATACCTAATTATTTTGACCCCATTATCTGAACTATACTAAACAACTATATGATTTACAGCTTCATATAACTATTTCTAAGGCCCCAGCCAATTATTTTAGCCCTATAGTCTGAACTATACTGAATAACTATATAATTCACAGCTTTATAGCCTTATTTCTAAGGCCCTAACTAATTATTTTACTTGTATTATCTGAACTATACCAAATAACTATATGATTTATAGCTTGATTTATAGCTTAATCTGAATTATTTAGGCTTCTATTTGAGTTATTTTTAGCCCCAGATATCTATAAAATAGGCTCTTAGCTCCCAATCCTCTCTCTAATTTTCTTATATATATATATATTTATATACTTTCTTTTTCTATATATATTTTATATATAATACTTTATATATATATAATAATAGCCTAAGCTTAATAAGATCTAGTTATCTGAACTTATATAAATATCTCTAATAATATTTAGTACTTTTTTTATATAGAAAAGAATAAGCTCTAGCCCTTAGTTATTAATAATAGCCCTTAGTAAAAGTATATCTTTAATATTAATAATTTAGAACTTTTAGATATTATAATTAAGAGTTCCTATATTACTATTATTTTTAATATTTTACTTCTTTCTGAAATTATTAATATAATTTTAATCTAATAAGTATAAGTTACTTCTTCTAAATTTATATAATTTATACTAAGTAATATAATAGCCAAGTTAATATTTAAACTTCTTATACTATTTACTAAAATAATTAAGGCATTTTTAAGAAGTATTTAAGAATTCTGGAAGAAAAGTAATATAAAGTATATAATAACTATATTTATTATAGTTATATAACCTAATATAATATTCGAGATATTAATAATAATAGAAAAGAAAGTAATAATAGAGAATAGCCTAAACCTTCTTAAATTATATAAAGTAGTATAGTATAGTAGGTTATATTCTCTAAAAATTATATTATTTTAGTAGTTTTAAGGTTTTAGTTATATTATAATTATTATAATATATAGTACTAGTAGAAATTAGACTAGAACTAGTAAAGTATCTAATATCTATAGTTATCTAATAGTTATATATAACCCCGAGCTTAAGCTAGTATATAAATCTATATATAGTTTATAATTATTTAGACCTGAGGCTTTTTCGAGATTCTTTTCTTTTTTTAGCTTTAAATTATTAGAATAGAAATAGTTTAACTTTACTTTCTAGGCTCTAGATCTTATATTTATAATATAATTTAAAGCTTATTTATTTCTTAATTCTATAAAGAATTTAAATAATACTTATCTAATTAGTTTTTAATAAGTATAAATATAATATACTATAGCTATTTCTATACTAATTAACTAATATTAGAATAAAAGAAAGCTCTAGAATAACTAGATAAGAAAGCTTTAGACTAGCTAGGCAAGTAAAAAAGCTAGTAACCTTATTACTAAAAAAGATATAAAGAAGTAAGTTTCGAAATAACTAGGCTAGTTAGAAGAAGCTATAATATAAGAGATTACTAGTATATTACTAGAAAATAGACTAGAGCCTCTTATTAAGTCTTTTAAGAGATTCGAGTATTTCATTAATATTTATAATAAAAAAGATACTTTTTATTAGAAAGTAAAGAAAAAAGAGGAACTTGCCTTATTAAAAATAAAGTTCTAAGAGTTATTTCGAAATCTAGAGAATTTATATAAGAGATTATTAAGCTAATTCTAAAGATATATAATATTCTTATCTATAATAAAAATTATTATAATTAGCTAAAAGAAACTAAGTAAGCCTTATAAAAGAATAAAGCTATTATTAAAAAGCTTATTATATAGCCTACTAGAATAACTAATTCTTTTATTCTAGAAAGTAAATATTTAATTAAATTCTCTAACTTTTCTATTTTTAAAAATATAACTAAGAATAGTATTATCTTTAATAATTAGTTAGTTTAGATTAAAAATAAGCTTTATAATAACTCTAATATTTATTAAATAAAGAATCTCAAGATTATTTATATATCCGGCTATATAAGTAGCTATATTTTTATATTAATCTCTTTTTACCTAAACTAAAATAATTAATATATATATAAGACTATTAGAGAACTATATATCTATTTAGAGAAGCTATATAGTAATCTAAATAAGAAATATAATACTTGGCAAGTATTTAAGAAACTATCTATAAAAAAAAGCTAGATTATTTAGAAGTTCTATATTCTATTTCTAAAATATATAGTAAATAGAAATATTAACTTATAAAACCTTAAAGATAACTTAAATAATAAGCTTATCTAGAAGCTCTAAGAGGCTATAGCTATATATTATAATAATCCGGCTATTTATATTATAAATAATTAGTAAATTCGAGCTTATTATAAAAAGAAAAACCAGGTATTTAAGAAAGCTAATAAAAATATAAATAAGCCAAGCTTAGAAGGCGCTCTTTATATAAAGCCTGCTTTTAAGGCCCTAATAATAGATAAGCCTATTACTTTAAAGCCCGAATTTTTAGATCTTAAGTATTATAACTATAATAAATTTAGTTATATATTTAGGAATTATTTAGAGCTTAAAACCAAATATATAAAGCAAGTTTTAGTAGCCAAGCTAATAGTATTTATTATAAGTAAGCCATCTAAAGATATAAAATAGAAAAACGAGAACTTCTAAAAGAAGTTTTCTTTTTAGAGCTATATTATATTAATATAATAGAAGTTAATTTGAGCTAGCTATTAGAAAATAAAGTATTTATACTTCCTTATATAATTAGTAATAATAGATTAGATATTAAGATTTCTTCTCTTATTAATACCAGAGTAAATAGATATACTTTTATTAATTTCAAGTTTATAAAAATAATTAAATAATTTCTAGATATTAAGCCTATTTAATTAATATTACCTTATAATATAAGAGAGTTTAATAATAAGTAAACTATATCTATTACTTACTATATTAAGCTTATACTTTTAATTAATAAATAGAAAGTTCTAGTATTTATACTAGTTATAAAGCTAGATAAATATAATATAATTTTGAAATAATAATAGTTTATAAATACTAGTATTCTAATTAATTATAAGAATAGAAAGTTAATCTAGCTAGATAATTAGCCTAGAAAAAAGAATTAAAATAAGATTCTAATTATTATATATAAGAATTTAAAATCTAAAAAAAGTAACTAATACTAAAAAGATATAAATAAAAGAAATAAAGCTATAGCTATAAATAAGTTCTAGAAACCTTAAATTATAAAAAGAAAACTCCTTTATTTTCTTTCTAAGCCGGATTTAGAAACCCATATATAATAAAAGAATTAAGCTTAATATTATAAAGAAATACAAATAGCCTTAGGAAATATAGAAGTTTCTTCTAAGCTAGATATAGAAATATTAAAATTATATTATCTAAAAGAAAGCTATAAGATCTAGTTAAGGCCTATAATTAATATTATAAGTATCTTACTAGCTATTTTCTAGATAAATCTATAAAAGAAAAAGAATTTTTTCTTTATAATATTATTTTTCGAGATTAATAAAAAGCTAGAATTATAGTAAAAGAATAAGTTTATTTCAGGCAAGTAATAGCTAGAAGAAATAAAGCTATAATAGCTAATAAGAGTTTTACTAAAGAAATTTAAGAAATTTATAAATATTTTTTTAAAGAAAGTATTAAATATTTTATTTTTATATTAATTATATAACTATAAAATTTAAATTAATAATTCTAAAGGCCTAGAAAGCCTAAAATATTTCCTGCTTTATTAATAATTAACCTATAAATTATAGAAAATTAAGTATTTCTTTAAAAAGAACCTCTAATAAAGCTTTATTAAGCCAAGCTAGTTCTCTTTTATATCTCTAATTCTTTTTATAAAAAAGACTAATAAAGCTTTCTAATTCTATATTAACTATTATAAGCTAAATAACTTAATATAAAAGAATTACTATTTTCTTTCTTTTATTTACGAGATTCTTATATAACTAGCTTAAGCTAAGGTTTATATAAAGCTAGATATTTAGTAAGTATTTTATTAGATTCGAATAGATCTAGAATTAGAAGAACTTATAATATTTTATATAAAATATAGGGCTTATAAATATAAAGTTTTTTGGGAAAGCCTAACTAATAGTTCTATTATATTAGAGATATATAAATAATATTCTTTTTAATTATTTTAATATCTTTTATATAGTTTATTTAAATAATATTCTAATTTATTCAAATAATTTCCTAAAATATAAAGACTATATATAAAAGATTCTTTAGTAATTATAAAATACTAGTTTCTAAATAAATATTAAGAAATTAGAATTTAAGATTACTTATATAAAGTATTTAGGCTTTATTATTTCTACTAAAAATATTAAAATAGATTTAAATAAAATAGTAGTTATTAAAAACTAGTAATTACTAATAATAATTAAGGAAATATAAGGCTTTCTAGGCTTTTATAACTTTTATTAATACTTTATTATAAAATATAGCTATATAATAAAGCTTTTAATAGCTCTAATATATAAGAGAGTTCAATTTAAGTAAATAGATTAGTATTAAAAAGGTTTTACTAAGCTAAAGTAAGTTATACTTTTAGTACTAATTTTAT